TTTGCGAAACGATAAAGGCTGGAGAAAAATTTGTACAACGGGAAACACCCGAATAAAACAACCCTCAAGAACACTACAAAATGAGAGGACACACAGATAAGCAAGAGGTGGCCTAGACAACCGAACCACTCTTAGCTCACAACAAAAGATAGCAAGACAACAGAAACCAAATACAATTATAAACAAGAGAACACACCAATCCAAACCAGCACAGACACAAACACTAAACACTACCAAAGCTAAAGAAGATAACCTGCTACTCTTAACCTGCAGTTGCAGGAACTCCAACCACTCTTAATGCCTCTTTGATCACCACCTGCTCTTGCACCCACTCATCTTGAAGCTGCCATAAGTTGCGAGTCTTTCGGAGCCACTATAGGATGTAAGTGGTCAACTGGATTATGTCCTCCGAGGTTCTTAATCTGTCTAACTCACAAATTTGCCACCACCAAACTCTGAAGCTGTTATTCTCTACTGGAATCCCTTCCCATTCGACTAGTGCAAGCTTCCACACTTTCCTTGCTCTTTGACATCTGAAGAATAAATGTTCAACATATTCTTCCTATTCCCCGCATCCTTTGCATAACACCTCCAGCTACAGACCTCTCTTCTTCATATTAACATTGTCTAGGAGTATACCTAAAAAACACTTCCAAATAAAATGTGTAATCTTCCCTTTTTATCCTCACTTTCCAACTCCTCATTCTTGCAGCTTTTTCCTTAGCAGCTGAAGAGCTATTTCCAACAATATCGATCTTTTATAGTTTTCCTCAATCAGATATCCATATGTTGAAGAGACTAAGAAATGACCATTCTTTTTCGGACTCCATCCCCATTCATCCTCTCTACCAGACCTGGAATTTTGATATGCAAAATGGTTCTGCAGTTCTCACTATTAAACAACTAAGAAAGAATGTCTTCATTCCACTTTGTTCCATCTGTCGTCATTAAGTCTCTTACCCAAGTAATCTCCAATCTGCTCCCACCTGATAAGGGCATCTGCAACTGGTTCACAGATGGAATCCAGTTAGGATCCTTGATCCTGGTTGATCTCCTATTGCCAACTTTCATTCTCACTCCTGCTTAAAAAATGGTTTTGTGTCCATACAAGAATTCCACAGCTAATAGGTATTTTGTTTTTTAACTGCCTCAAAGAAGAAGCCATGAGGGAAATATCTTCCTTTTAGGATCTTTCACTAGAAGGTGAGGGTTATGTTGGGTTCGCTATACCGTATGGGGTAAACGCATCAGAAATTAAACTAAATAAATAAGCACTAATCAAACAAATATTAAACCACTCGGCGCACGTAGCGATTGTAATAATCGACATCTTTTAAAATTACGTAAAAAGATGATATAGGATATTATACCACAAGGCTAAACCGGTGTGCTGACCGGTCGAGGAGGTCATACCGTGGGGAAGTCGAGAAAATCGAGCAGTTAACCAGTCGACCAGCTAAGCAGTCGACCAATCTATCCTTCGACCAGATGAACGGTCGAGCAGTTCAGTCGACCTCGATCGGTCAACCACTTTGCGGACTTAACACTTCATAGATCGGCCAAGTCACAGGCGCGTGAAAGAGCCTCTAACGGAATTTCAGAATATTCATCCCATGTGCAGGAGGACATGTGTCGAGAACTCTATGGTTGATAGCGACAAACACCTCTGACAGCTCCCAACGCCTCGCGCCACCTCTGACATACGCGTTGTGTGTCAGAGTACGGACGGGCAGCTTGGGCAGCCAGCTCACCTAATCCGGGCAGCTATTAGGGCAGGTATCTCACCCCTATAAAAAGGGGGCGAGCCTTCCTCCCTTAACACGATTTTCCCATTATTCACTTCAGTATACTCATACACATACTGACTTAAGCATCGGAGGATCTTTACCGGACACAACCCCGGTGTGAGAGTTACTTGCAGGTTTTTTACGTTCTATCGGCGAGGACGAGAATCGATCTATTCCGAACCGGACCAGGGCGCTCACGCTTGCATTATTGGCGACGTCTGTGGGAACTTTGTTCGAAAAGTTGTGTTGGAAGCTCAGCTATGGCGGACGGAATTCCCAGAACCAACTTGCAGTCGACGTTCGACGATGCTTGGACGACGACCAGGCCGATTGGGCAAGGCCCTCCTCCGGGTTTCTCTGGCCCTTCACAGACGCCGGTCACTCCTACACCCGCCCTTCAAGGTGTGGGAGTGTCAACGGCGATCCCCGGAGGAGACGTCGGCTCTAGTCGTGCCCAGGAGGCTCGCGCAGCAGCTGCGGCGGCGATGCCACCGCTGCCGCCCCAAAACCCAGTGGTGGCACAACCAGGAGGAGCGATGGTGCAAGGAGGAGTGGCATCACAAGGAGGAGCACCACCGCAAGCCGTTGCACAAGCTCCCGGTCAACAGATGGTGACGATGACCAAAGAGGAGATGCAGAGGATAGCGGCGGCCGCGGCGGCGCAGGCGGTGCAGCAAGTCACAAGCCACACATCTCATGCCACCACCGCGCCAACCACAGTAGTCGGAATCCAGGACGAGGATGTGTCCAGTTATGGAGATGGAGGAGGTGGAAGAGATCGTGCGATGGAGAGAATGGTGGAGCAGTTAAGCCAGTTGCAGGACAAGGTTGAGGGGAGGCCAGAGAGGAGAGCTCGAGGACATCTTTTCTCGAGGGAGATTCTCGCCGCTCCCTTATCGAATAATTTCAAGGAGACTAATCCGGTGTATGACGGGTCATCTGACCCATCGAGGCATGTGAGGACCTTTAAGAATATGGTTGTGTTACATGGATATTCTGATTCTGTATGTTGCAGGGCATTTCTATCGACCTTGCGCAGAGGAGCACTTGACTGGTTTCATCAGTTACCCCCGGGTCGATCGCGGACTTTGAGGATTTTGCCAGTAAGCTTACCAATCAATATTCGATCGCGTTGGCGCAGGAGAAGACATATATGACTCTGATGGCGATGAGGCAGGGAGAGAAGGAGTCGTTGAGAAAGTATGTTGCTCGATACAATCAGACATGTTTTGGAGGTGCACTCAGCGTCGGATGAGGTGAAAGCAGAAGGATTGATACGGAGTCTTCGAGCGGGGCCTTTTCGAACCTCCCTGGCAAAGACCCATGCTCGATCATATGAGGTTGTTTTGAAGCGATGTAGGAAGTATATTAATCTGGAGGAGATGGAGGTGGAGTTTGCAAAATGGAGGGGGCAGCTCGACCAGAGCCAAAGAAGGAGAAGAGCCCACAAAGGGGGAGGTCACCAAGGAGGAGTTCGCCTAAGAGGAGTGGGCCGAAAAGAGCATCGCCCAGGAGAGAGGGTCGAGATTCGAAACGGGAGAAAATGGATGATAGGTGGCAGGGGAGGCCTTTGTCGTTCGAAAGACAGAGGTACCATAGTTTTACACCTCTCAGGAAAGACTTAACAGAAGTGCTCGAGGCGATGGAGCAGAAGATGTCGAGCGAGGATGTGACGTGGCCGAAGACGAGGTTTACAGGCCCGATTCGACCTAGATCAGATATCTATTGTCGTTTCTATCGAGATTACGACCACACCACAGAAAATTGCAGGCATTTGAAGGATGAGATTGAGAGGCTGATTCGAGCTGGACATTTGAAAGAATATGTGTATCATGATAGGGCAAAGGGAAAAGGGAGGAGGTGATGTCGGGAAGATTCGGAGGAGAGAAGTGATAGAGATGATGAGGGGGAGGATAGGGATGGTCGAGATGGTCGAAGAAAGAGGCCGAGAGGAGATGGAAATAAAGGAGGGCGCGGAGGCGAAGCCCCTATGAAGAGAGGGACAATTTATATGATTTCAGGAGGGCCGACGGATGACGACTCGAATAACGCCAGAAAGGAGCATGCTCGAGTTGTGAAGAGAAAGAGAGAGGAGGTGGGGATTACGGCTCGCATGCCGGTGATAAGTTTTAAAGCAGAGGATGCTAAAGGAGTGGTCTTACCACATAATGATGCTCTGGTGATTACCGCGGAGGTGGTGGGCTTTGATGTGAAGAGGGTGTGTATTGATACCGGGAGTTTGGTAGACGTGATGTTTCATGACTGTTTTGTGCAGATCAACAAGGAGCTGAATATGGAGCTAAAGCCGGTGGCTACGGCCTTGTACGGATTCAATGGGGGCGAAGTAATGCCGATGGGCGAGATTAGTCTTCCAGTTGCATTAGGATCAGGAATGATGAGGAAGGTGCGGATGGTGAGGTTCGTAGTAGTCGGAGCAGAGTCATCTTATAATGTCATTATGGGGAGGACGAGCTTGAACGCATTCCAGGCGGTCGTATCCACGTACCACATGACGATCAAGTATCCTGTGGGCAAAAATGTAGGTGAGATTGTCGGGGATCAACTTACTTCGAGAAGCTGCTACCAGACAATGTTAAGCAATAACACACAATTGGCGAGAAGGCAGGCCAAGTCGAAGGAGGAGGAGATTAATCGACCAGGTGGGTCGAGGTCGAAGGAGGACAAGTAGAGAGTGGAGAAGGGTAAGGAGAAGGCGGATATCCAGCCAGGAGGTAAGGTGGAAGAAATCCCGATGGTCGAAGGATATGAGGAGAGGAAGTTCAGAATTGGGAAAGATTTGGAGGAGCCTATCCGGTCAAGGTTGATCGATCTGATTAGGGAGTTTGTTGATATTTTCGCTTATACAGCGGAGGAATTGACAGGGATAAGTGCGGAGGTGATCGAGCATCGTTTGAACATTGATCTCAGCGTGAGGCCGGTGA